TTGAAAAATTGAACAGCGTTGAAATGTTGCTTGATATTAGAATTGGCAGCTGAATCTGCTGTACGTGTCGGGCGTAATAATACTCAATGACGCTTTTACATCAACAATAAATGATAACTGACAATGTAAATCACATCCTATTCTGCCACACACTAACACTTGTTACAAGTCAATGTCGCTCATGTGGTGAATAAAATAGTTGAAATATCAGTCAACGTGCATGTATGTACTGCGGATATAATTTAAATGACTTTGTGGGGCAGGAAAATGATGACCATCAAATTATATGCATGGTTACCATGTTGATCCTCGAGTATAAAGGGTCACCCATTTATAATAGAAATATGTTATTTTTAGTTATAATTAATGCCAAGTGAAATGGAATCAAAGATTATGAAAAAATATTCTACCTGTATTGTGGTATTTTTAGAGTGGCTAAAAATTGTAAATATCAGTAAATAAGTTATTTTTTGATATCACAAAACTACAACCCATTAAGCCTTCTTCTCGATTTTAATCCAATCAAGCTGAAAGTATCCAATTATAGAAACGGTTGGACTTGTTTTTGTTTACATTTATGGTATGCATATATGTTTTCAAGCAAATGGAATGTTTATTATTCAATATCAAAATCAGATTACAAATAAAGCATGAGTCTTCCCACAACCACATCTTATTATTCCTATGCAAAGTATACAAGCTGTGTGAATACATTGTTTACATGGATATCAAACATGCTTAATAGTTACTGTGGCGTTTTAATTATTGAGGTTTTAATTAATTTATTAATAGACAAAAATCTGTAAAACATATATATTAATGAAGAGCTCCCTAAAACTTTACAACTAGCCTAAAAGCAATGATGTTTTTGTTATAATGCATTGACAAGTACCTTCTCTGCCCAGGGGTTTAACAAATGCACTTAATAGCAGGCCATCATCATGTAACAACAGGCCAAAGAAAAAGAAAAAGGCTCTCGGCAGCGCGACCGGCGTAGGCGGTCAGGGGAGAGACCAGAAAGTAGACGGCCAATTTGGGCTTGTAGCAGGAGGCCATATGGCCGGTGGCTGGCTCTTAATGAAACCCCTACTGCCACTATATGCATCTCCAGTAATAATATAGACTGTTGTAAGTGTAACAGTTGTTGTTATGTAATACGCTGCACA